ACTATCACAAATTAACTGTACGTTTACATCAGTAATACTGTATGTACAGTAAGCCTATATATGCCGACATGGCAGACCGTTTTCAATGGAAAATGAACAGGAGCAGCGCATGGAATCGCGGTGTACATTGTAAGTGCTTGTTGCGTCCACAGACGTGAATAAGTCAACAGACATTACAAACCGCGTTATAGGAGTGCGCAGGCGTCGCTTCAGTACTTGACATGCAGCTGGTGTCAGTCGTTCCTGAAGTGCACGCATTGCTGGCTCTTGACTGATGGTGGCTTTTATCCGGCAATCCGATGTATATTTCTGTAATCTTGCTTCCATCCAATATCCGATGCGAAGTAGCACACTAAAAATAGATTTCAGCGTAGGTGTTTTTCGATTCAGTTGATGCATCTTCAAAATTCGATGACTGTCTCAACAAAGTTCGTATTATTGAGTTGAAGTAGCGTTGCTAATGGTCGAAATGCTGTAGACCATTTGTGTTTTCTCAATAAGAGGTGGTCTCTGACATATCGGGCAAACGTTCCGTCCGATATTTCGATCAAGGATAATACATTGTTAAAACTACAAAATAATGTTATGTTTGAGTAAACATCAGGCGAAAAAATAGTTGTATCCCTTCTGATCGTACCCTCTACAATTAAGGTTACTGAGTTAATGTTAATAAACGAAACACTTACCCTCTTTATAACATTGCGAACAAGGTGGACGTGACACAAGATATGGTGAGCATTGGGATACACCTGCATGATGGCAGCACCTATTGCAGGTGAATCATCTGTCACAATGTCTACCACCTGTCGACTGTTGGTTGACCGTTGGAAGAACGACAGGAAGCGAGAAATCAAAGTTGATGTCTCGCGACTTATAAATGCAATACAAACAGGTATTGCCTTAAAATTCATATCAAGGGCTACGACCTGATATATAGATGTTCTCGTTATTTGTCTTGTATGTCCCATCCAAACCAATAACATCAGCGAAACGATCTGCAAAAATCTTTTGATCACCAGTCGTGAAGAAAAAGTACAATAGACAGTTCTCATCGTCTAATTCGTATTCGCATAGCCCACCCAAAGATGTTATGTGAGCTATCAATTTTCCGTAATCACCTATCGTTTACACTATAAATTGGCAAATGGCTTACCAGGAATGTTCGCCTGTGAGAACACTTTGTACCGCATATCATAAATATTTTGATCATTCAGTAGTTTCCCATAAGAATGGTAAGCATAATTCTTAATGTGGAATGAAGCAGTACCAGATATTAGCAGCGGTCGCCCAATTTCAAGCTGGGCCCCCGTTAACCTGCGCACCCATTAATTACCTTGGTACCTCAGGGAATTGCACTCGTGATTGTGATGCACATTCCCACGTACAACAGTCCAGTAGCCGTCGACAATCTTGCAATACATGAAGGCCGGACATTGAGTGTTCATGGAAGCCCTTCATGACAAAAAAGTGTTAATAACATTAATAAAATTACCTCCTCCGTCTGATCTGCTGTGACGAACCGCTAGATGTTATACGGCCATGTCTCCAGCACACAAATTTAATATACGAGTTTTCATTTCTGCATAAATGCGAATCTCGAACTACATAATGTCAGTAAGTTGATCTTTCATAATTTGTGATAGTGGACTTCAACGTTTCAACCGATGGGAACGCAACGAGAAACAATGTTGTCAAAAAGACTTCCTCCATTTCTGTTACGTGAGAAACAACAGCACTTGTACTCGACACGTTACTCTCCTCCATGATGATGATTAAAATGTTCTTCGTCGACAAGTACTGATGTTTTATAACAATTCGACAAAACATAACTAACCAATTAAAACGAACTTTAAAACTAGCCATTTCATTGGACGAAACGGGATGGAAAATATTGCAAATTTCGGTTGAAAAAACACTTTTAAAAAGGGTGGGTGGGTTTTTTTTAAATTGCCGTGGGGATAATGAATTTCCCTACGCGCTCATATAAAAACAGTCAAGATTAATAAGCGATTAAATAACAAGGTCAGAATGTGTCTCATGTGGAATGAATAGAATAGGCTGTCCGAAAACCAGAATAAGGTATATGGGCTTGACATTATAACCGACACTACAGATTAAATACAATATGCGAGTCGACATTCAAATTTATCTGACTGTTGTAGTCGAATAATGGCAAGCCAGATAGATTTGTTATCAGGGGAAATATAAATAAAATCCAAATGTCTAATTCAATGTTTATGAGGAAGTCTGTTGTTATTCGACTGAATGTACTAATAAATGGGAATTTGATTACATGTGTTTTTCCATTGCAATAATAATTCTATTAATCATTATTATTACGTAGTGCAGACAGACACATTTTAGTCTACACTATACTTTCCTATCAATTTCGGAAGCTTTTATGCAGACCAAAAACTCCGATGAGCTATTGATCAGTTCATCAGTGAAGAAACGTGGATCTATTCCCAAATATGTTGTATACACATATACTCATTAAATTCAGATGTCAGAAACATTCGAGTGATAAACACCTAGTAATATATGGACACGGTTGGTAGCATGTGTTACATACAATCATAGAATGTGCAGATACGTCCAATCATCTCAAAATTACACATAAGAATAGACGTTTCAGTTCGCGATTTCACGTTACATGCACATATAGAACTCATAAGCCGCGCCACATATACTCCACTACCAAAAATATCAATTAACGTCAATGAATTCGTGATAACGTCTTAAGAAATATATGCACACTAAATGCTCTATAATGAAACTCGTTATCTGAATAATAACTTCAAAATATGCATTGAGATACCATTGTTTAGCATATTGTAATATTAATGTTTTTATGTGACACACTAATTGATTTCGGGTTCATTCTATCGAGCTGTATATTGTAAGTACTCGGTGCAACGAAAATGTCAAACAATGGAGTGAAGATCGAGTGGATTATGTTTTTATTCAGTATCAAAATCTAATGTCAGACATATTCGATCCAGACTTTATTCATTCAAGAAGAAATGACAACTCTGAGGAAACTGGGTTTCCAATTAAGTAGTTATTCCTTTTGTGAAAGTGAAAGGGATTGAAATAGTCACAAGATATGTTCCGAAGTGAACGACTTGATACTATATACGTCTCATGACTTAATGCACAAAACGTTGATATCACGGAATGCAGAATCTTCAAACAATCCTTTTGATGACCTCTGCATATATTGATGTTTATCATATGAAAATCTCATGCTAGAATATGTTACAAAACATGATAGTTGGCGGTACAAAATCAGAATTAGTCATTTTACATCAGAGAGGAAAATCGAACTTGTCTGATCATGTGTAAGCTGAAGAGAATAAATAAACAACTGTAGGTCTGCTGGGCAGTTATTTTAATCAGAAAGATTACTACTGTTAACGGTATCTATGATTTTGGAACATCAGAACTACTGATATTTGTTTGTTCGTACTGAAGTTCGAATTTTTGGGGTTTACTCATTATATTTGTTTGATCCATCTGGGTTGAGTCCTGTTAATCAAATCATATATATGTTACGGTTGAAGAAAAGAATGATGATAGAGTGTCAGTTAGAAGTATAAGCATTGTTTACTTTTGTCATTTGTTAACAGACTATAATTGTGGATATGTATTAATGCAGTCAATTGTGACTTTGTACATTTGGTTATGGTTTATAATTGCTGAATACAAAACTGTCTCCTGTATAATAATTTTTTTTGTTTTGATCTTGGCCATATTTGTATAAATTAAAGGACAGTATTGTCAAGTTACGTATTGATTATCTGTACACCAGCCGTGATAAAGTGTTTCGGAAAATGGTTGGATTTTACAGTTTACGTAATGGATCGATTTTAGATGAACAGCCACTCAGTAACAGTAAGCATTAGGAAGATGCTTTGCACTGGAATGGCACTCCTCAGCATAGCATATCCATGGCTTGAATGTGAACCAACCCAGAAATTGAGTTATCATAACGAACGCTTAGCCTTTAGGTAACTGAGTTGTCATCCGACGGTTTACACGTCTAACATAATTTGAGTCGTGACAATCCACGGACGCCATCCAATGCCGATATTAGTTGACTACCTCGCACTATATTATAAAGCGATATCGAGTGTTAGTTATGTTCATAACTAACCAATCAAATCGTTGCTTAAACGCCCATCACAACAATCTGGTCTGGTCTGATTGCACTAATCAAATTGGTTTTGCGTTTAGAAACAGATCAAGTTTAAAGCCAAGTTGTCTTTGTTCGGATTATAGCTTTCACATAAACTGGGATTGTCAGTAACGCGTTTACAGTTCTAGTAGAATATATGTAAGACAAATTAAATCCTACATTTAGTCATGTGGTCGACCTTTACTGTGTGCTTTTATACGAACTCCTGAGGTGCTCCATGTTAGAACGAAATAGCGGTCCAGTACTTTCGAGTTTACTCTGAAAATTGAGAATAGTTGTTCTGGCTTCCTTTAATGTTGCTTGATAATGAGGAATAAACACAGTGATAATCCATTAGTTCGGAGTTGAAACTTCTTCTTACATCCCTTCTTACCCAGTTTTTCTTGTGAAGTCTTCAAGACAGCTTTTGGTATCAAAGTTTGATTTAATAATTACAGATAACCTATGCCCTGAATAGAATGACAGTGTATTGATCATATCGCAATGAGTAGAAAGTCGAATTACTCGCGTTAATAAAAAACCTTAAAAAAGTGTTTCAATTATAAATGAGTTTTGATTCTCCCTACCATTTACTTGTTTATTGACTTGAGGTAACTCAATATAAAGTGATAAGTAATATAACTGATTCAAATACAATCATACCGGAGTCAATTATCAAGTATCAAAATTTCTACTGTTATTCGTGCTTTGAATTTATTGAAACAAGTTTGTTAAAGTAAACACGTAAAGTTTGTCCTCCCTTATGAGAATCTTTTAAAAACCTCAGAAAATGGAATTAATCTTTATGATATTTTAAACTTACGTTCTTAGTTGAGTTATTTTCTGTTAACAAGTAATCCACGGAACAAGGTTCCATCTTTAGTTTACCAGTATTACCTATAAAAATACTATAAGGTGCTGCCGTAGAAGGTAGAATACTCAGTTCAACATTAAAGAATTGCAACTTTTCAACTTGATTCACGATTGAGGTATCCTTTAATGTCAAGTTACTTTTATCAAGCTATTCGTTAAAAAGAAGGTTAGCATGGTTTATACTGACAACTTACCAAATTAGAACCTGTGAATGCTTTGACTTGGCTCTCACAAAAATTCACTGTAGAATTCTTACCTAATGGTGAGATTTTTGCTTCAAACTTAACGGATGCCAAACTTGGTTTATATATCTGGATAAAAACTGTTAGACGAACTGATCGATTCATCATTGGCAAAGTAGTGTCATAAACACCTAAAATATATTTTAAATTAAATGTGAATATGTACATATGAATATAAAATAAGAATTGCTCGTCCCAATAACTCAGAAAAGAAATAACCAAAGTAATATGAAAACAAGACCATTTTGTGAAAGAATGCCTGTCAACGAGACTTATCAGAGTAAATCTCAAACGTTTGGTAATGAAATATAATGAAAAATAATATTTTAGTTTTTTTTTAATACGACAGTGAGATCTTTATGAAAAATTGACCCCGACTAAGGCTAAAAGATAGCCAACTACGCGTAATTATATGCCTTATAGTTGTAAGAGCTCCAATGGTGAGTGATGGTAGTGACCTTGGGTAAATTGAAGTTATAATCTTCCAGTCTGACTGAGTTTAACTGCATCAAATGTGAATCAATTTCTTTATAAATGACTTTAAATAACGAAACCCAATTTCCAGCCAGTTCTAAAGTAATCAGAAAGCAGCTTTTAAAAATAAGTAGTTTATGAAAAAAACGATGAGATTACAGTGTGAATGGATTCTAGGTAATTAATGAATATATTACTGTCTTCCACCTGTTGTTCCGCCTGTGAGTTGAAGAAACAAAGAGATATTACTTCAACCGTGCTATTAGAGGTTATACGTCTTCTCGCTAATCTATAAAATGACCCAAAACCAGTTCGCACATTATTTTTCGTTAGGGATAGCATATTTAGGGTAATGGTTAGGGCTTTGGAGTTTTATTCACAAAATGACAAATTAAAACTCCTCTGTTGTCGTATGTGTGAGTGAATTTCAGTCAAAAATACCAGAGTAAATATTTGATCAGTTCATTCATAAAATGTAGTCCCATTAGGTATATGTTTGTTTTAGGATTAAAGATTTAAAGTTAGGACATATGGATAGTGCCAATTTGCCTATTAAATACAATCAAAGGAAACAGAAGTAGAATTTTGATACACTTAAGACTTACGATTTTAATCTATATCTGCAAAAACTGAATTTTTGCAGTCAATGTGTATGTTTTGAGCAATACACAAAAGTATTTTCACTGAATGTCACACATAATATTTGAATTTCGTGCTGAAATTCAATTCTGATTGAATTGTCCCTAAAGTATACTTTTACTGAAACCATCGTCGTAATTACTTTTTGAATGGAGTTTTCTATATTACTCTCATTTCATTTTCTGATTGACCTCCATTGCTTTTAGTTAGCTAAATTTCTATAGTCTTAACGGTCATCTTTTTGTTCCTATATTACAGAGTTAAGTGAAATCATAAACTTGAACCACGTATACTAGTGCAATTCACGGAAGCCTCAACAAAGCATACTATGAATATATTAATTAATTTTTGTTCAGGAAATAAGTTGGACAACAGATATTTGATTTCAATAGACAGCTTGATGATAAGTGAAATGTACAAAGTTTAGAAAATAACAACAAAATAAAAAGTATCTTCGTTGGTCTAAACAAGTTAGTAACTATTTGATAGTGGTTAAATTCGACTATTGGTCACAACATACTATTTTTTTCGATTAAATTTCACTATGACAATAGGAGATGGCTGTAAACTAGCGAAATCAGAAGTCAGGCGTCTTTCAGTGTGAATAAATCTATATTGATTCCATGGTAAGCAGCGAAGAAGTACTATCGCATGTTTTTAAGCAGAATGATGACAGCACATTTTAGAAATTCTCTCAATAGCAGTTTAGAAGTTATAATACAAATCTATTGCAAAATAAAGTAGTGTTACAAGTAGCAGGATTATTCAGAATTTAAATGCAATCACACAAAAGTAAGTATATCTGATAATGAAATGTATAACAATCTGCCAGCAGATATCATTTGGTCAGTGGCATTCGCACTTCATTTGTCAACTGATATATAGTGTAGGTATGAAGCTCAATTATCAGGTCTCGATTTCATTGAGAGAATTGTGAAATCCGTATCATACAGGAGCTTATATTTGAAGTGACTTCTACACATGCTCATTTTTGTAGTCCATATTTTTATATGTAGACATTTAACTTTTCGTAAAACAAATCCTGTTCTTCTTCCCATTAGTATTGTCTTCACTTGGAGATTTGTGTCATCAATCTGATCTCGTATTCAGCAAACACAGAAACTAAAGTAACAATACGTTTATCCATTGGTTTTTTTTACAATAATCAAACGAGCATTGTTCATAAGATGATTATCATTAAAATATATCTTAAAATCAATGGTTTTTCGGAATACGACTTCTGGAAACAAATATTTTTATCCATCTTGGATAACAATGTATTCAACCCCTACCATCTTCTTCATTCCTCTTAATCACTCCATCTTTATGCATATTCGATTGTTCACAACATCTCTTGTCATTTCAGTTCAGTAATAAATATCTTTGGTACGAAGAAATTTGTCATACCATTACACTACATGTGTCAAATTTAATAACGTTTTGAAGTAAAACAGCTGAACACTTTCCAATTTATGACTGGGCAAGACAGAATAAACACTGAGCTTATTCAAATTCATCATCAACAGTTAAAAATGTTTTATGCACGGATTTGTATATGCACAAATGTTGTCACCAAATATATGTGGTTGTTAAGAATTGATTAGTAACATCACTTTGACGAGGCCATCATACTGACCGGTAAGAAAAGTGAATCATCGAAGAAATATTAACAGAGAAATAATTATCGAAAGTAAAAGGTCAACTAGACAGGAAACGGGGTAAGAGGAGATAAGGATAATGATAAGTGTAATAATAATAATAATGTGAACACAAAGCGAAACCTAATCACTCTGGATAATAAGTCAATATTACCAGGGTAGGTTTAAGGTAAGAACAAACTGTTTTTGAACACATAAAGGGGGTTTGAATTTTCGTATGGCTAAGGCTTCAATGAACCTTAGTATACGCCCTTTTACACTTTTATACAGCACTACAAAAGCTGAATTTAGATCAATCTTGTGACCTGTTTCAATTATATGTTTAGCAATAGAGGATGATGGATGTTTATCCTCTGCTCTTATTGGGTCACTTGATTGTATTTGTTTCTGAAGCCATTTGGGTACATGTTCACTCACCCTAATGTTGAGATCACGATTACTCCTCCCTATGTATGTGTGACCACACACACATTTAAATTGGTAAACACAGTGGGATGTGACGTAATCGTTTTCATGTACTTTAGGTTTTGAATGAAGCATGCACCTTGTTCTTTCTTTGATGATGACCTTTGCTGAGCAATAAATTTTATTGATGACTGATTTAAGTCGTTGTTTCAGTAAAAGGCTATTTGAATCACCTCTGAATGGTAAGGTGATGTAGACAGGCTTTTTCTCTACCGAGGCTACAGTAGGTCTCGCTGTACCATGAACTTTCCATCTATTTATGAATTTCAGAGGATAGCCATTTTCTATTAACGTTTTATTTAACAACTTAACATCATCATCAATGGCGTCATTGGTACAAATACGGTCGAGTCTGTTGAAAAGACACCTTATCAAACCATGTTTGTATTGCCCAGGGCAATAACTATAATAACTAAGATATTGACCTGTCCACGTTGGTTTTCTAAAAATAGATCGCTTTACTGAACCATCTTCTCGTCTACTCAGAACTATATCTAGGAAAGGAAGCTGATCGTTTTTCTCCTCTTCGCTTGTTATTGTTTTGACAAGTGTATACTTAATTCCATAAACATGCGTACAGGAAAAATGTAATCTTTCGAAAATACAATATTTAGGAGTACCACGTTTTGAGCATCGTGGATGGTTGTGAAACATCAGGAACTGAGTGTCATAAAACACAGCTAGACTGAACATAACTGTTAATATATGATACAGTTAACAATATACATGGTTTATACTAAAACAGAGTGTTTAACGTTAGAAATCATTGTACGGTGAACTTACCTGGATTTTGTAGATTTGAAACGCTAACGTAGCCAATGGTAGTCAGTGCGAAGTTACCACCAACGAATTGTTGCGTATCTATTTTGTAACCTTCTGGGTATGTAGAGAATGTTGTAGGTAGCGTCAAAGATATATGTCCAATCGAAGTACTAACTTCATCAGTAGTGAACGTGAACTATCAAACAATTTATTAGGAAACAACAGTAAGTATTTTTCTGTACGTGGCTTTGAGGAAATAAATGCGTAATTTTTTGTATTGGGTGAACATACAAAAGTAAAGTATTTATGTTCAGACATATCTACTCAATGTCCTACAACATTATTATGGATATTTAAATGTACTCTATTAATTTTGTCTGAACATGGATGATCTCAGATGTTGTAGAAGTTCTCTCGTTATCATATTGAATAATTACCTTGTTCGTATTGTATTGGTTAGTGTTATAACCCAGTGAAGATTAAGTTATAGGTAACTTACGAAGACTGTTAGTAGACTAATATTCTATAAATATTCTTATTGTATAACAATTCAATAATTAGATTATGTGTATTTATATTCCTCTTATTATAAGCTTTATTTTGACCTATAGTTTATTATTATACAATTTACGGTTCTTAATCTATGTTCAGTCTATTAATTATTATCTCCCTCGTTCACAGCCACTTTTTGGCTCATTTGTGTACACGTGTTATTTTCTAATTTATGGTGTGTTGTGGTCTGTCTGGTTGATATATGAATAGAGTATGTTTGAAATAAACGATCTGCTCTGATCCGAAGCTGGTATTGTGTTCTGAACTCAAGTGGAAGGGCTCGTAGGACATAGGACCAATAAGGACGCTAGACTGCCCACACCGGTTGAACGTCATTGGTTGGCCTAGTGTGAAGATTCGTCTAAGTCGTATCCGGATTGGTAGATAGGTCGCGTGATAGCAAAACCAAACATACCCAAGGTCATAACAGTTAGTTAAAAATTTGCTACACTTTATTCGTTCAAGTAATTAATAGTTTGTGAATCACTGATCTGGTATATTTAACAGGATTCGTGTTATGAAATTTAATACTATATAGCAAGTCAAATACTTAGAAAAATTATGGTTGATATGACCATTGATATTAAAGAGAAATAGTGATAGCATTTCAGCTAAAACAACACACTGTCAATACAGAGTTATTTATTTTGGGGATTTATTTACCGCTACAATATGCATCCATCTAGTTGGTGAAATGTCTTATGACATAAAGCTCCATATATTTTCTATTAGTGATTTACAAATTCAATTTTCGTTATGAGGTACGTCATAGTATGCAACAATTAAGTCAGAAGTCTTATTATTTACCAATTTCTTTTCATAAGACTGCAAATTGTCCAAATATCATACTTATCACTCACCACGTAATCGCCAATGGGTCTGCTTATAAAGTAGTCCACAGAATACCCATAAACCCCACCTACTTCCACTTGCGGTGGGCACTTGGTAAAGTTAACTGAATCATATTGAATCGGACAGTTCGAGGAAACTCTCATGGGAATATCTACGGTAATCTTTGGAGTCAACAATGCCTCCATTCTAACTGTTAAATTGGTACCCATCGGTGGAATCGACATTTGAGGAAAAAGACCAACTTGGAATCGCATCCTAATACTGAAGTCATTTGAATCATTGGCAGGAGCGGATGAAACATTTATCTGACTTGTCATTGTGAACCCCGAAGACTACGGAAAACAATTAACAAAAGTGGATTAAGCGCTAGAATTCTCAGGAAATTCTCCATTTTTATATCTATCATTTGTCACCAAAGATATGAGTTAATATCAACTTACGAAGATATACTACTGCAATTTCAAACCAATTTAGATCCATTCACAGAACCGATTTTAAGCGATGTCGAGTCATTTGATGTGACATCTTTAATCATATATTTCCTCAAGTTTGTAGATTGACTACAATTATTTGGTATATCAACTCATCTATAACCAAAATCTAATTTATGGAATAAAACAAAGCAAATATAGAAAATCAGAAATTCTATCTATTACTGCTCCTTAAAATATGAACCTCACAAAGATGTTTCTACATCTTATCTGATCCTTTCTGTTTTAGTTCTTGTATTTTTCCCTCCTTCGTCTCTCTGGAAGTTTTACTCAGTGATGACCATAGTCTTATATTACAGTGTTTTCTTTCTTCTAATCTTGTAGATTATTCTGTTCTATTTACACTCACTTTTACATATTCATACTCATAATGGAACTTTGTATTCAAGTTTCCGATAGGTTGTTAAGATATGGAGATTATTGGATGAGACAAAAATGAGGAAGGTTTCTTAAGCGAAACTGAATTAAATTTTATACAAATTAAATATCTATTGTTATGACTCTTCACAATCTCACTGTATTTTAAAGTTGCTTTTAACCATTTAAAAACTTTTATTCTTCCGAGTACATAATCAGCATCAGCTGGTATTTGGAATGTGTTGATATGAAAAAGAACTATGATATTCACTCTCAATCTTCAGTGAAATATGGAATAAGTCCTTGCACATATCGGTTTACTTTTCATAGGAACTTTTAACTAGTACAATATTTTTAATTACAATGTAAGATATATTGAAGGCCAGAAGAAAGAGAATAGATGATATATCAGCTTCATGAGAGACTGTTAACTAAGGGTTATACCTATATAGAAAGTGAATTCAGAAAACCTGATTGTGTCTATATAATGTGATTCAAATTATTTAGGAACATCTCATTTTTACACACATTTAATGCTTGATAGACGCAGTGTATTTTACTATTAGTAAACATAAATCAAACTTAAATAAAAATAATATATTTGTAATATCCCAATGAGTGGAAAATTGGATTTTCTGACGTTTCGTGACTTAGTGTAAGTCACTTCTTCAGAGAACAAATAACCAAATTAAAATTCATCCAAGTTTAAATAGTACAACGGAACAATGCATTGGGATATTACAAATATATTATTTTTATTTATAACAATCAACCCAATGCTCAATTTATTCGAAATTATCAAATCAAACCTTGGTAATGACACCTATAAATCAAACTTGTTTGTTTACTATGTTTCCATGAGAAACGTTTATGTACATAACCATATGCTTTAGAAACCTACTACATATGCTTCATTATTTTCTGAACTGCAGTATCAATGGATATCCACAACCTAGAAACTTTCAGCAATTTTTTAACACATCATAACGAACAACCTCTAGTGACAGGAATCAAGAGGTGTCATATGTATATTTACTTGTACATTCCTTGTTACACATACATTTACAGAAAATGCTGTAAACAGTAAAATTAATCAAACTACATTCATATCCTTACCGAGGAACTATTGTTCAAGTATGTGAGATTACTAAACTTCACAGGATAATTATTTGCTATATTTGAACCGTTGTAGTAAGCAAACAAATATTGTATATATCCGTAATAGACATTATTTAGAGACGGACCAGAAAATTTCATGATCAAACTATTATTTCCAGGTGGAAGGACAATTACCGAATCAATAAACCATGTATCGAATAGACAATAATTTCGATTATTCTGGATGTATACTCTGGAAAATGTGACATTGATAGTATTCGGTGGAACTATGAAGCCCTATAAAGAGGAAAACATGACATTAATCATCTGAAAACCTCAAATCATAATTAATTTGGATATTACATATCGTGGTTCTATATCTGACTGTGCACATTTGCTGAATCGTATCACAATATCCTAATGAAAACACTATCTGATTTCATTAACATCGGAATCATTAAATCGAATTCATTAATGAATAATGATTGCAATCTTAAAAGCCACATTGTTTTGTAGGATAAGTGACTGGGAAATACATACGAATTCAAAGGCAATTATGCCTACTTATAATTCTTACTACTATCATTATTTTAAATAGTTTTCATTTTTGACAAAAATGATTATTCGTAGCGTTTTATGAGAGTTTGACGTTCATTTGATTTGGCGGTTGTTTCCAATGGTAACATACCACTAATCGTGTTGATATTCTGTTGTTTTTGTTGTTGTTGTTTAAACAACAAGGCTCAGAACTGTGAGATAAGATTTGAAGAACCATTGATCATATTGTTATGCTTGTTTCAAAGAAACAGGTTACTACAGTGTCAATTGAAACAATTGATGAATCTCTTTCAGTGACAGCTTACCAATTGTGAAATCAATAACAAAAACTGCAGTTTGATATTTAAAAAATACTACAATGAACAGAGATCATACCCTCTTGACTGCAGTGATTTCACTTTCTGTTTCTTCTTCAGAATACTTTCCATCAATTAGAATGTTGACCGTTGCATCATCAGATATATTAAGTGAAGTATTTGCATTCCTAACTGTCACTTGAAAAGTGATGATGTGATTATTCTTCATTGTTGCATAATCACTTTCAATTACTTTCAAAATACCAGTTGTTCCATCGATAGCTACTGGTAAGTAGTTTGAACCAGGTACAATATTGAATTGAACACTTCCACATGATGCTAAGGAGGAGTTTTCATCACTCAGAGAAAGTCTACCAATCAGACTTCCATTGATCCATTTAGAAAACTTGGTTTCGAAGGTGAATACTGTCTGAGTGAATTTTGGAATTCTATGTACTAAAATGGTAAGCATGTAATCTCTACAAAGTTAATATTTCACAATATATATATAAACGAGAAACGAATTATGAATCCTGGACTGGACAATATTTCTTCAACTGTAGCCAATGCACAATACAAATGACTGAACGTTTTTACAAATAGATGATTCAATTCATGAATAAATTTTGTTTAAGTTAACCAACGGACGATTTTCCAAGATTTCTTGTAACAAGATGCCAAGTAAATTTGACTACAAGCTTATCAATAAATGTGAATTATTATTCATTCAGTGTAATGTTTATTTCTTATACAAGTAATATAGTTAATGAAGAACTCAGGTGCGGAAGACCAATTTATTGTTCAATGCAAAATTATAGAGTTACATTGAATACTTCATTTGCAAATCCTACATCACTTATCCTTACATCATTCATGATTCTTCCATCTCTCAATCTCTTCATGCTTCCCCATTCTGTTTTATTCAGTACTACCTTCTCAAGCGTCTTTTGACAGACATTCAAATTGTGATTGGTTTACATACTACTTATGTAAACAGGGATAAGTAGAATACACCATAGTAAATCTTTTGGGCTTGAGATAAGAGTCTTTAGCATCATCTTGATAAGGAAATGATAGAATGTAACCAAATATTTATAAAACCGAACAGAAAATTTTCTTGTTATTAGTAATATTAACTAGTTAAACCATAAATGACTGACTTACCTCGTTCTTCACAGGTTTTCCCGGTCCAACATGTATTACACACACACGTTCCATTAATGCAGTGACCATTAACACAGCTCCTAAACAGAAGTATTGGGCATTGAGGTCTTATCCACACAAATAACTAAGAGTTTGTAGATAAGTGAAATTTGTTATGCATGTTTCAATAACTTTAGTTTTAGTGCGTGAAACCGACTTGCGAAGCAAAACATTGTGATGCTAATAAAAATCAGTGATTTGAGTTTGAAGATGAGATGTCAAGGTGTATACTTAGTACAACAATCTATTATCGGTACATAAGCTCAATATACCAGAATTTGTACTATTTGGATATGACCTGGCCATCCTAAAATCGTAATTTAATGAATATCTCTGCACAGTTTGGTACTTCAACAAGTTTATCCATCTTGCAAAGTTGGTAAATCAAAACTAAGAGTAAAGAGCTTTGAATATGATTTCAATACGAAATCGCTGACTTTATTTACTACACAATCAACAACAGACGATTAAGATCCTCGGTTTGTTCATTCAGTTCAATCATAAACGAAACCGAAACTAATGCCAATAATTAGCACGAAATTCTTGAGAAGTGTGCTCAGCTTACTTTTAACTACCATTCTTATACACAATTGGTGTGATATTCCAAACAAACAAAAGCGACACCAATAATACTTATACCAAGATAACGCATTAGCATTAATGGATGACTAAAGACCAACTAAGTTCCATCCTTATTTTAGACAGTCTAAATATTTTAAATTGTTTTTTGTATATTAATGAACAATATTCGCACTTACCAAAAATATTGAAAGTATTAAAATCAACAGTCAGTGAAACTATGGATACACTATTTCGAGAAACTTTATCTTCAGCACTGTCTTTCATTGAACGTCATATTGAAAGTTACATCATTCAAATGAAATATCCCCAAGCCAATACTCTTAATTAGTTTAGAACCGTCATTTAAACTAATTAAGTCGAGACGTGTTTAGTAGTTCTGATTACTTTCATTTTTTCTATGGGCTTTCTATGTGTCAGCTTCTAGAGGTGATCCTTTCCTCATTTGATTTGTTATCAATTAGTTGTCTGTCTTTAGGCTCAGTTACTGATTTAAATAGACTGAGAATATGTTTATGGTTAGTTTGCACAGTAATCATTTGCAATTTAGTTCATGTATATCACAAGGTAGAACAAACGTGTTTGGGATGTAGTATGGATGCAGAAAATCTAAGATATTGCTCTACTACTTGTTTGTAACATATTTTAATTTAACTGTGATTATAGTTGACCGCTCCCTCTATCGTTTGAGTCACATTAGTTCAATTGGACTAGCGATTGCGAATTCTAGACATTCTAGAAATACTGTTTACCACAAGTGAAATAAATGTCTTGTCACTGCTCAGTACAAACAATTATACCACATTTTGTGTTACTTATGTATCTATATCACACTGAAAGTTGTTAGGTGGTTGAAGATAGTCAGTTGGCAACACTGGTTGTGTGCTGTTCAGGGCTTACTAGAAGCTAAGTAAACCATAGATTTAGGTCACCACTAAGAACTAAACATACATGATATTGACGATTATTCGGTAACCAATCAGTGTAAACAGATGACTGCAAATGAACAATATTAACAAGAAAGTAATGATACATAACTGATGTCGACTGAACATATTTTGTTACTTATCTTCTGATTCCTGTTTATTAATAAAACTGTAATCAAGCAAAGACACTTAAAGAGGATCATATAAATATTCATTACCATCATTACTGTGATCATAAAACATTAATATTTTTTCAACAGACTTACAATGAATTATTTTCACACCATTTTGTAGATTGTTCAAATGATCCATGAACTACTGAATGCAATATATTAGTTTAAACCTAAACAATCACTCATCAACTTACAAACAGTATGAATCAGTATAATGATCAAATCTGTTGAAATTCTTGGATAGACGATCATTATGTATGAATGTGAAAATGTAAGTAAAACGAAGGTGATGATGATGATGATGAAACTTTTGGGTTCAACTATGTTCAAAATATTTTCGGATGATTTAACTTATTTCAGTCAGTAGCTAAATTAATTTAAAGTAAACCTGAATTCATTTAAATAGTTGCAAAATATGTAGTCGTTTCAGCCAATCAGAATACAGTCACTGGATTTTGGGTAGTTGCACCTATTTATTCTAACTCCTAGTAACAAAAGAAACCTGTTGACAATTCACATATTTGTCATATGAATGGGGTTTACAACAACAAAGAACTTGAACACTCCAATAGAAACAATTATTCGTACATACTATCATACTAACCAAAAATATAATGATGATAACTAGCCTTGAGTCTTTTGGGCGATGATTAATTTGAAGAATGAAGTGAACCTGGGACGAAACTATAATGAATTGTACTACATGCAAGGTTGTCCTTAAGGTAAATGAAAAAAACTAACACTTTGGTAACCAGGTGATTGAAAAAAACATTGTTTTACGTTGACTTAATAAGTGGACAATACAAAATGGTGTTCTATAAAAGGTCGTTGATATCTTGTTGTATTTAATACAACAATTGCTCTTTACTGAAACAGTTCATATATGTCATATTGTAATCAAGCATTGTTATAATTTAGCCTGAAGATAATTTAAGGACAACAAATTGAATGACTATAAGCCACCGGTATTTAAGCTTTTCTATTGTCTATCTGGAATGCTTCAGTGAATAAAGGTTCTTTCACTATTATTTTCATTATGTTCATTACATTACGGAGACATAGTAATTAAAGTGAATTAACTCTCCGTGTTAAGCCTTAGAATTGTTTGTAAAAAATAACTACAATAAGGAACAAAAATTAAGATGATATACTAACATGTTAAAAGCACCCTTTATAATAGTGTGGTTAAAACTGTTGTTTGATTTTAATAATTCAAATGAAAATGTATTTATTTATTGAATTAATTACAGTCAATTAGTTCCCACTGTTTCATTCCGAGTGTGAATTTCTCAGATGCACCAATGTAGTCGAACTAAGTGAATTGTATTCCAGTTAAAGGTGATGATTCGACACGTCTTATTCAAAACATCGAGTAATGAGACAACGGTTTGCATTATTGCTCAGTTTGAGTTACTGAATCTATCATGTTTTTATTTGTGTATCAGTCCGTCAATTTCGCCTCATTGCCTTTCTTTGGAATTTTGATCGGGTGACTTTCCTTCCAGTCTGTTGATACTTGTTCTTCATCCAAATCTTGCTGAAGAGAATGTGGAGTAGGCTTGCAGTTACTGCTTGCTACGTCTGCTTTCAGTGTTTCTGCTGGAATATTGTCTAGCCCCGCTCCTTTTCTGCTCTTGCTTTGTCTGATGGCCATGCTGATCTCTTCAATTGTTGGTGGGTCAACATTGACTGGGAGGTTCGTGGGTTTTACTTTGATATTGGGTGGGTTCAGTGGGGCTGGTTGATTCAAGAGTACTTTGAAGTGTTCTACCCACCTGTTTCTCTGTTCTCTAATGTTGGTGATTACTTTGCCTTCCTTGCTTTTCACTGGTCGTTTTGGTTTACTATAATTTCCAGCGAGCTTCTTTGTTGTACCATACAATTGTCACATGTTTCCTTCTCTTACAACCTTTTCCGCCGTTACCGCATATTTACGTTTGTCGAATCTAATGCGCCCATTCTTTCACTTGCTTACTGCTGTGAATTCAGCTTCTGCCTTGGCAGTCTCTGTTCGTGTTCGGCTGATATTGATTGCTGTCTTCTTGTTCCTTCTTTCCTGAACCTTATCTAGTGTATCAAGAGTGTGGTGGTTCATTTTGTGGTGATCTGACGGTATATCAACTCTTCTCTTGGTTCTCACGTCCTTCTCCTAAGTAAATGTTTGCTCTGTTTGTCAGAACGGACATCAGCCTCGTGACTTCCGATGGAAATCTTCTATTCCTGAGGAATATCTTGAATTTGTTGAATTTGTCAGTATCGCAAAGAAAAGCCGTATTAAAGATTTGTGCTGTTGTCCGCCCTGTCGTCCGGTGTTTCTTGAGTTTCACTTTCATCTTGGCGACGAGCAAGTGGTGATCTGATGCTATATCAGCTCCTCTCTTGGTTCTCACATCCTCCGTCGTCCTCCTGAACTTCTTATTGATGCACATATGGTCGATTTGGTTCTGTGTAGTATAGTCCTATGAATTCCATGTGGTTTGTTTATGCATTTGTGTGGGAATATAGTGCCGCCTATGACCAGTTTGTCGAAGGCACATAGGTTTGCAAATCCCTCACCATTTTCGTTCATTTCTTCCAGTCCTTATCGTCCC